CACACACACACACACACACACACACACACACACACACACACACACACACACACACAGATAAAATCTGCATGATTATTTTGGTCAATGGTATTCTCATCCAAATTTATTTCCTTTACGATCATTAAGGATCACTTAAACAAGCAGCCAAAAATACATAAACTCTGATTTTATAAAGACTCTAAAACATTAAGGTACAAAAAGTAAGTAAACATCTACAATTAGCAGAACATTTATGACCTTATACAATTTCATGTGTAGGAAAACAGGCAGAGAAGGAACACAAATAAATTATAACCTGAAGACATATTATAACCTGAAGACATACATATAAAAAAATTCCTTGGGTTATTTATTAGAATCTTCCAGAAAGGTGAAAGGAATGTTGCTAAGGTGATATCAACGGTGTGAGCAGAATCTGACAGTGCTGTCCTCCCCTGCCGGGCTGCACTGTCAGTTTAAGAGGCACTGGACACAGCCAGCTTCTTCAAGTGATCCATGAACACCTGTAGGCTGACATCGTCCGTCAGGATGGGCGCTCCAGTTTCCTGAAAGACAACCACAGAGACTTACTGACAAAGACCTCAACAGCCACTTAGGATCCCCAGCTGCTCAGTGCCTTCTGCCTGGGGACATCCATGGGTGCCACCTTTGTTCCTCACCACCCTGTCCTCTGTTTGTCTTGCGAATTCCATTCACCAGAAGCATGCTTTTCTCTAAACCCCTTCCTGAGATCTGGCCATGCCTGCCCACTGCCAACAGTATATGAGTATATGGCTGCCTATTTCATCCCTTCCCAGAGTCCTTCAGACTCGTCTCAAACCATCCAGAACTCCCACCAGCTGTGAGCCCTCCGAGGCCTGTACACCACCCCCTCTGTGGCACACCACTGCCAGCACCACATCTATCTCTAAAGTGTTGTGCTATAACAGAACGGTGTCACGGGCTAGTGAATGAGTGATACCACCAACAGATGCTATTTGCAACATCAGAAACACGATTTAAGTAATGCTCTGGGGGAAAAGACTGGGTAGAAAGGGCAGTTTGCAGCAAGATCTCAAGTTTGTAAAGAAACAACATATGTACATCATGAAATATTTAGTTTTCATTACCTAGGAAGTAGCTAGGAAGAGGGGTTATAGGTAATTTATTTCTTTCTTCCCTAAAATTCAGTAATCCTGAGCAAAAAGCTATGATGATAGAGGTACGACAATTCCAAATATATTATAGCACCACAGTCACAAACACAAACTAGTCACATTGCATTGCCTAAGCAATGCCTTTATTACTGTCATTGCAAAGAAAATTATTAGAGACACAGAAGGACATAACTTACGGTAAGTGGGCCACACACTAAGTACACATCAAACAGAGGTGCAAGGCATGTGAGGAACAACTAACAGAAGTGAACAAGAGTCACAGATAAGCCAGAGCTGGGGCTGGAAAATTCATTCACAAACTGGTAGAACAACACAGAGAACGGGTAGGGATGTATGAGAACTCAGTGATGCCACCAACTGTAACAGGATCCAATTAACACTGACTGATAGGACGGTCCACCAAATAGCTGTACAACAGTCTTTCTTTTCAAGTGACCATGGAACGGAAACCAAGACAGATCATGTCCCAGATCACAAAACAAACTTCAACAAGTATAAAAGAACTGAAATCATACAAAGTGTGTTCCCAACCAAATGGAATCTACAGAGAAATCAGTAACAAGAAACGAGGAAAACGCTGCGTAGTTGGAAACAATCAACATGCACTGAAACTTGGGAGCCACAGCTGTGGCAGTGCTGATGGCGAACAACACTAATGAGAAGGGGACACCTCACACTGACAAGTTTTCATTCATTTATTTTCATGTCTTACTTATTTCCATGTATGGGTGTTTTACCTGCATGCATGTCTATGCCATGCGCATGCAGTGCCCTTGGTGGCCAGAAGAGAACACTGGATCCCACAGGACTGGAGTTAAGGATGCTTGTGACCCACCATATGGGCGATTGGAACCAAAGTGGGAGGATTCTCCTGAAGAGCAGTCAGTGCTCTTCACCACTGAGCCATCTCTCCAGGCCCACGCCCCAACAATCTAAGCTCTATCATCAGAGTAAAAGAAATCTAAAGCAAACAGAAGGAGGTAATAACAAAAGTCAGTTGGGCTGGATATATAAAGAGATAACTAAAAAAGTCAGTGAAATTAAGCACTGGTACTGTGAGAGCCAAAGTTACCTTTTAAGTTTTAATTACTATGCATAAGAGATCCATGAGACAAAAATGTTTCTGGTCTGCAAGCCTCCTGCCCAAGCCTGAAATGCTGGAGGCTGTTGTTTATGGGAGATAACAAGCCGCATGTTTTCACTCCCCTAAACAAGTTTGTTTGAGCCATCTGCACCAGATGTGCTTGGTCACATGTGGGCAGGGAGGTTCAGAGGCAGGAAATACATCAAGATGTATGCTTGCCCCTGAATGGATGTAGGCTGGAGACATGTCAGGATATATGCTTGCCCCTGATTGGACCTGATGAGAAATGCAATGAATTATGGGTTTTCCTTCCTAAGTCCTTCCTATTCTTGATTCTGGACCATTTCTCGGAAACCCAGAGATGGACCTGGCCAGAGCCCATCCACCTAATCAGTATTTAATTAAAGCTTGCTTCAATTTTAGCTTTAAATTATGGTAGTGGTCTTATCCTCAACTGGTGGGATTAACAGTACTTTTGAAGATAAGTAAACTTCCAAACTTCTAGAAAGACATGGAAGAAGATGAAACTTACTAACATAAAGAATGAAGCTTGGCGGGCAGTGGTGGCGCACGCCTTTAATCCCAGCACTTGGGAGGCAGAGGCAGGTGGATCTCTGTGAGTTTGAGGCCAGCCTGGGCTACCAAGTGA